CGTGTGCTCTTCCGATCTCCCCAAAACCCCAAAACCCCTCAATGAGGGAAATTTGCAATAATAGCAATTTCTTTAATCTATTTTTGAGACAGATTATAGGATTTCTTATTATTTATCTATTTATTATTATAAGTTTAGAAATGAACAAGACATGGATTTTTTACACTTTTATGATTATATCACTAATAATTGGATTTTTTGGATTAGTAATGTCTTTTATTCAAGCTTTTCACATGACAGGAACTGTTATCAGCTCAATCTTAATTGTTATTGACATTTCTGCAATTTTCATAAGATACTTTACCCTAAATGTTAAAATATTTTGGTTGTTTGGACTTGAGATTAATGGAGAGAATATTGATTTTTGTGGGCAAAAAACTTAGTATCTCAAAAACTCATCTATAGAACAAAGTGATGGAGGAGACACTCAAGGGGATCTATATTCAGAGAGATAAGAGCATAAAATCAAAAACTATTTCAGCCTGAAATGCATGAGGGCATTTTTTCTGACTATGATTTTGCTTTCATTTAACATTTTTGTCCTATTTGTTGGAACTCTAAAAGTAATTCAAGTTTCTTAGAGTGACTCTACTATAAAGCATTTCCCTAAAAAATGCTCACAAACATATGAGAATTGTATCAGACTAGCATAGTATAATTGCAATGGAATATCGTTATCAGATCTATAAAGTGAAGCAAATATGAGTATGATATTTGAATATTTAGGAACAATACCTAAGAAAAATGAAGCAAAACCTCCTAAAAATATTGAAACTTAATTGGCTGATTAATCACCTCTCTACGATTTCAGTGTGGCAAGAGCAATAAATAAATAAATTGTGAAATGCTTAGAAAGAATTCAATAAACTAAGTTTATCTACTCATCTTTCGATCTTGATAAATAATCAGATAATATTCTGCAGTTAGAATATCATCTAACACTTTCATCATATTGGCTTGGATTTATTTCAGACTATTTGATTAAGATTAAGCCGTTAAGCTAATCAAACATTAACTTAAGTATTATTGAAGTTTAGAGCCAATAAAGATTTGATATGGATTTGAAGGAATAGTAAATAAAAATGACAGAAGTCGTTTATAAATGCTTTGCCAAATAAGATGTTTTCCAAAATTGCTAAGATAATAATATTATATAAAACAATCCAGTTTGTTAAAACTCTTCTAAGCCAATTGATAAAACTTCGGTTAAAGAATCATAGGAATAATTGGTATAGTATCTATAAGAATGAGGCTTTCTTTTAGCTAAGATTAGCAAATATTATATTAAACTATTGATTGATTTGAATTAAACTATTTAAGCTTAATAGTAAATGAAAAGTAATCAAGAGTCAAGGGGTTTTGGGGTTTTGGGGTTTTGGGG